TTTTTTTTTTTTTGCAGTTTTTGGCCGGGGCCGGGTTTGAACCCACCACCTCTGGTATATGGGGCCAGCGCCCTACTCCTTTGAGACACAGGTGCCACCTGATGCTTAAATTTTTTATGTAAAATGGTGTAGTTCTTGCATAAAACCTGCACACATACTCTTGTATACTTTAAATTATCTCTAGATTACTTATAATACCTAATGCAATGTAAATAGTTGTGACACTGCCTCAAGAATGGCAAGAAATAAAAGTCTGTTTATGTTTTGTACAGACACAACATGCTTTATTTGTTTTTTCAAATATTTCCTATCCATGGTTGATTGAATCCAAAGAGGTGGAACCCATGGATATGGAGGGCTGACTGCATTACCCTTTGTGGTGAAACATCAGCCGCATGGCCTGTTCTTTCTGTCCCTTCTGTTTGAAGGCGGCCAGCTGATAATTTACCAAGGCAAGAGCATCCTCTAGTGGTGAATGTAGGCATGCTCAGGCTATCCCAGGGCTCCAGTCCCTGCCCAGGGACAAGGATTATATTTAGTACTACTTATAATCCTGGTCTAGGTAGAATGAAGAATTAACTTTAATTAAAACAAATGGTTTTCACTGCACCTTTGTCAAACAAAAGCTGCAAACAAATGGCAGCAGGTGAAATGAGGGTTCCACGACCTTCTTTCTCTCTTCCTCTTTCTTTCCTGCAAATCTCCAGATTCACCGTGTCACTCCTTTACTGCAGCTGTGTATTGCAATCACCTAGGGAACTTTAAAAAATTCTCCTTCTCTTTGCTTGTGCAATATTCGGTACATATTTATATTAATGAATTATTTAACTAAAATCCACATTTGACTAGGTATCTTGTACTTTTATTTGCTCTTCTGAGAACCCTCCTACAGTTACTTTGTAAGCCAGTTAAATCAGAGTCTCTTGGGATGGAGCTTGGGCATAAGAAATTGTGTAAATGGGGCAGTGCCTGTGGCTCAAAGGAGTAGGGTGCGGCCTCATATACCGGAGGAGCCGGGTTCAAATCCAGCCCTGGCCAAAAAAAGAAAAGAAATTGCTCCCCAGGTGACTTTACTGCAGGGCTGAGAACACTAGCTGCAGCTGAGAACACTAACAGCTTTGATTCTCATTTTGAGTCACTTGCTCCACACTCTCTGAACCCCGCTGTATTTGTGCCCGCTCCAACATAAACCACGTTTCTGTAAAGCATTTAGCCTTTCCCATCAACTTGGCCTCAACCAAATCGGTATCACATTTGTAGTTGATTTCTCCCAAGGGAATGGCTGGGTAAGGTAATGCCGGTGGAGATGCCTGAGACAGAAGCTGCAGAGAACTGGGTGTCTTATCCTCATTGTCAGAGTTAGAGATACTTTGAAACTATTCCCTGCCTTGATTACTTCCTTCAAGGAGACCAGGATAGGGTTCCATCTTGACTGGGTTTATTCCCCCCTGAACTAATATGCCCCTTCTCTCTTCCAGGTATATCTACTTGTAAAAAACTGCTGGGAGGAAGATCCAGAAAAGAGACCAGATTTCAAAAAAATTGAGAATACACTGGCCAAGATATTTGGGTATTGATGAAAATGTTACTTTTCTTGACTAATGTCCTTTTCTAAAATGATAGTTGGCATTCAGTAGCACCAGAGAATGAAAATGCCTGTTCCAATGAAAAAAATCCCAGACTGTAACCGGCACCTGTCTCATGCAATTAAAATTATATGGAGATTAACAGACCATTTTCTTAGGGAAATAACCACTCGAAAAGTTAAATACTCAAGGTCAGAATACATTTTGACTAATCAAAATTTTGTTTAAAATATAACTTCTGACCTTTTTACAGATTAGAATTTAGAAGTGTACATGGGCCCTGAGAATCTGTAAAGACCCTAGATAATTTTTAAAATCAGTATTAAGACTTACATCATGAGTCAGAGTATAATAATTCAGGGTCTTAAACAAAGGCACACCATTAGCAAGTAAGGTTGAATTCTATCAATAGATGCTTCATGTTACTACACTGCAGAATGATTACACTTAAGAGTCTGGAGATCTCGTTTCTAGACTGGGGGCTGACGATAGCTTGCTGTGGGGCGTTCAGCACAACACTTACCCTCACTGGGTATCAGTTTTCTTGTTAGAAAAACTGGATCAAACAAGATGATTTCCACAATTCCTTCCAGCTCTAATTTTCTGTAGTTCTCATTAGGACAGAAGAGTCAGATCGTTAATGAGGCTAAAGGTCCAAGGTTGGAGATGAGGTACAGTGAGTTTAAGGAAAGTGTGGTCGTCGATTGGTAGAACTGAGCTGTGGGTTGTGGAAAGGCAGAAGGAAATAATAGGATTTAATTATAGCTCCTTTCTCACTTCTTCCCCAACCTGATATTAACATCAGACGAGACTGTCCGTCTCGTGAAGATAACCTGGCCCCTGACATTTGGCTTTTAATGTGGTGGTTCTCAAACTTGACTGCACAATGGATCAACTGAGCAGCTTTAAAAAAAAAAAAATCACTAATGCAGGGATTCTATCTTAGAAAGTCTGACTGTTCTGGTATCAGGATTTTTAATAGTCCCCCAAGTGATTATAATATATCGTCTAGGCTTAGAAAACTGTTTTAATTGAATCAATTCCTCATGGAGTGAGAGAATCCATCTTCATCCCCTATGTCCGCTCCCTCACCCATTCTACCTGACTAGACTCTGTATTGGTGGTTTCAAGTAAGAATCTCCCAGGGAGCTTGCTAAAACATCCTGTTTCTTCATCCCAGACCTGGCAATTTTCAGTCACATAGGTCTGGGGTAGGACTCAGAAAGGTACTGAATTTTTAACAAACATTTCTCCCCCATCCCAGGGGATCAAGGTAGGGCTGGGCATCTTCTGAGAACAGAAATGGAAATGAAATGGCTGTGATTTATTCAGCACTTTCTGTTGTGCCTTGCGTGTTTTGAACATGACTGCTCCTCACAACGGTACAAGAACTCAATGCATCTGCTCCCTGACCTCTACATCCCTCCCGTGTCACAGTGGCATCTCACCTAAGCTCCTCAGTCCAACACAATAATCCAGTTAGATTTTTGGCGTTAGACCTTGGCTTTCTGTTCTGAGGAGATAATGAAAGGCTGGCTTTTCTCTTCTTTGTAGTTAATTTATATTTGTGATTTGTGTCCTTAGGATAATTCTTAGAGTAGACTTGGTGAGCTCATAAGTATACGTATGCTTAAAGCTTGCGACACCTTTTACCAGATCGCTCTCCAGGAAATCTGCACTGTATATATATTTCCTCCTTCTCCTACATTGATTACCATGATTCTAACATTTGTTTCTCTTTTTGCAATCTTATTTTTATTTCCACTTCTTTGATTTCTCCTGGGGTTAAATTTTTCTTGTTAGGTTTGTGGCCCCCACCCTGTCCTTTTCTCTGTTGAATTACCTGTTCATCATATTTGCCCGTTGTTTTACTGGATGTTTCCTGCTTTCTTAATCATGTGTCAGAGCTCTTTATCTATTACTCCGTACAGCCTTTTTCATGACCAAAAGAATGAAAGTTACATGGATACTTTGATCCGACGTCTGCAACTGTATTCTCGCAACCTAGAACATCTGGTAGAGGAAAGGACACAGCTGTACAAGGCAGAGAGGGACAGAGCTGACAGACTCAACTTTATGTTGCTCCCAAGGTAAGGCGAGGCCTCCCGCTGATGTGGTTTTCCACCTTTTTACAGCCTGGCTTCATAGTTGAAGGCTGCAACCTTCAGCCTATCTGTCTAGCAATGTTTTACTTTGTAGCTACATAGGATTATTTTCCTTTTGTGTATCCTTCAGCGTATTATGAGGATTAGAAATGCATGTTACCTTTGTTTCAGTTTGTCCTCTGAACAAACTTTGTGTGGTACAGCGACTGTGGAGTCCCTGCAACCAACCTGGGTTCCAACACCTTTTTGCCACTTTATTAGCCTATGACCTTAGGCCAGTCACTGCCTGTCTCTCTTCATTGTCAAAATGGAAATCAAAGTTTTTCTGCAGGATGTGTGAGCTATCAGACACTTTGGGGAAGTTAGTGATCATTTCCCTGCTTTCCTCTCTTCACCACAAGGAGAAGCCAAGATATAAGAAGTAGAAGCCATCTTTGGAGGGAGAGATAGGGGAAACCCATCAGATGTCTCACCCCTGAGATGTCTGTGTGCGACCTCCATTTGTGAAGCAATATTACGGCAAAGGCAGAAGAGAAAGGAAGTAAGATTGAAACTCCCAAAGAGATGAAAGGTTTTTAAGTGTCGGGTAATAACTGAGGAACGTTAAGATAAGCCAGGAATTAAAATGTGAAGAGCGGGGAAATGTGCTGCCCTCACCACTGGGCACGAGTGAGAAGTAGCATCCTCTTCTCAAGAAAGGGGAAGAAGCCCTGCTAGTCCACTGAGGATAAACTCGGCGGTCCAGCTGTGGTAAAAATCAAAGAGGTCAGCGAGGTCTGACTTCAGAGCATGGTCTACCACCCACTTCTGATGCACCGTCTTGGGCAAGTTACCTAAATCCTCCAAGCCTCAGTTTCCCATCTGTCTTTCTGGGTGGCTCTAAGATAAGGTGACCAGATGTCCTGCTTTTGGCAGGACAGTCCTGATTTTTAACAATTTGTCCTGTGTCCTGCAGCATTTTTAAAAAGTCCCAATTTTTGGAAAGAATGCATGACAAGCTAGGGAACAGTGGGAGAATGGGAAGGGAATATACAGTTTTCAGCTGCTGAAAAGGTTAATGTAACTCCATTTGGGAATAAAGAGGTTAATATAACTTCATTTGGAAATGAAAAGACTAATGTAAACTCCCTACTCCCCTCCTGGGCAAGGTATCAGAAGGAGACTGGCTCCCTCCCTTGCTTCTAGGCAAGGACAATTAGCTCAGAAGGAGCCAAACTGTCTGGAACAAACAAGTAGTCCCCCCACCTCTAGAGTAAGGTGACCAGACATCCAGTTTCAGCGGGATAGTCCTAATTTTTAACCATTTGTCTTGTGTCCTGCGGCGTTTTAAAAAAGCCCTGATTTTTGGAAAGAATGCATGACAAGCTAGGGAACATGGAAGAACAGGAAGGAAATATATGGTTTTTGGCTGCCATGTGGCTATTTTGCCAGGATATGCATTTTATATTTTACTTTTGTTAATTTTATAATGTTAAACTTTAATAATAACAAATAATTGTTGAGAACTGATTATTGAGAACTGCTTATCAAAGTTTGCATTGTTGTCAGGCCCCGTCTCCCAGGCCCTGCCCCCTACTCAATGGGGTCCTGCTTTACCAATGTTAAAATCTGGTCACCTTAGCATAATTGTAACTCTCTTCAGTATAATTGATTTTGCTTTTTAAAGGATCCACATCCGCTTCAAAATATGTCAAATAAATTCTGGTTCAGAATATATCAAAATTAATTTTTAAATGCATTATTCCTTCATAGTGTTATTTAAGAATGCCATGTCAAATATGCCGGGGTAGTAAAACCATCAACTTTGATAGGAAAGTCAGGTCTGATAGCCATGGTGACTCCAACTCTTACATTAATAACACACTCTCCTTCTCGGCCTCTTTATACACAGATGCATCTGTAAGAAGTTGATAATCAATAGAGAGGTAAAAAGTGGGCAAGTATGTATATGAGTTAGGGTTATGCAGGTATCAAGGTTAGCTGTGCATAAATATTAGTGTTAACAGTCACTAAGTTAACAAACTTGCTTGTATTAATCTGTGTTCACAACATGTATTTGTGTGTGTGTGTGTGTGTGTGTGTGCAATATAGTCTACATAGTATATGCAACCTATTTTTGCTTCCTAGCCGCTCAATTCACTGGAAATCCCAAATTTTAGAGTTCCTGATAAACAAATGCTACTATCTGAAAGATTTATGTAAGATATGAAAAATTCACTGAAGTTGAAAGCCTTTTTTTCCATTTCTCATACATAGACTGGTGGTGAAGTCTCTGAAGGAGAAAGGCTTTGTGGAGCCAGAGCTCTACGAGGAAGTTACAATCTACTTCAGTGACATCGTAGGCTTCACTACCATCTGCAAATACAGCACCCCCATGGAAGTGGTGGACATGCTTAATGACATCTATAAGAGTTTTGACCACATTGTTGATCACCATGATGTCTACAAGGTAAGCAGGTCACCTAATGGGCTGAAACAGTTGTACAACCCAAGGTCACTGGAGCCTGAATTGGTTGCTCCTGTCATCACTCTTGTCCTCTCTGATTTATCATTTAATGAGTTGATGGTTGAATCCATGCTAAAAGTGAAGACAAGTAGAAGAATTAGAAGGATTAGAAATCAAAATTACCATTTATCTTTAAGAGGCAGCATAAAATGAATGAAGTGAAGTTCAGAAGGAATGAATTGGTGTATTAAGTTTAGAGAAAATGGCCTACTCTCAAGTCACCTCCAAAAAATGGGCAGTGTTTAGGCTGATTGCAAATGAAGTAAAGAAGACATGGAAGTTACAACAAATACAACACCACACTACAAGAATGTAGGTTATCTTTTGCAGGAGCTTATAATTATTTTTTGTCAAACAGTATTTAGAAAATGATAAGTGCTAAAGATGACTTCTGGTAATTAAAGGTGTTCTTAAAATTACATAAAAACATTCAGATTATAGGGTAGCACCTGTGGCTCAAAGGAGTAGGGCGCCAGCCCCATCTGCTGGAGGTGGCGGGTTCAAACCCAGCCCCGGCCAAAAAAAAATTTAGATTACTTAAAAATGTATAAATGCAAATGGCTTCATTTTTTTTTTAAGAAAAAAGTAATAAAAATGTATGGAATTGTCATATCTGAAAAATTTATATAGTTATGTCATACTTTTAAATGGCTAAAATCCTTTATAACTACTTTATTATCCATTAACTAGAATATAAAAACTCTGAGGAAATTAGCATAGAGCTGGTCTTAATCTGGCCCCAGAAAAAGTACAAAGAACTAGCCAAGTTATATTAAGTTCCCAAAAACATTTTGTGTCTGATATGTGATTAATCGGTACTGTTTAATTTCTGTGTCTTTGGAAGGGGCAGAGCCACTGATAAAATTATTTCTGCAGGTGGAAACCATTGGTGATGCCTACATGGTGGCTAGTGGTTTGCCTAAGAGAAATGGCAATCGTCATGCAATAGACATTGCCAAGATGGCCTTGGAAATCCTCAGCTTCATGGGCACCTTTGAGCTGGAGCATCTTCCTGGCCTCCCAATATGGATTCGCATTGGAGTTCACTCTGGTATGGAGTTATCTTAGCAAATGGGAACCATATGTACATAAGTTAACTCAAAAAGATAATGAGTCTTCAAATATGATCGATTTTTACATAAGGTTTATTCTTGAATTCCATGCAGCAAGTGTGGGGTCTCACTCCCCATCCCAACAGATTTAGACCCAATCCCTAGAGAGCTCTAGGAACAACAAATTTGACTCCTGGAATGATAAACAACAACCACATACAAAAACAAGAAGCTCCAGACTTCCAATTTAAGTTGCCATATCTACTATTTTGCTTATTTCCTCCCATTCTGTCTTGCTTCTCTGTATTTATTCCACTAACGTATTTTAGTATCTAATAGATTGGATTATCTACAGGGCAGGGGCGGGGGGGATAGCTGGTCAAATTCCTGTAATGTTAATTCCCCCAACCCCACTGCAGTAGTACAAAAGGTATATAGGTCACTTCAAAGACCATAAAAGTTAACATGGCCTTGTTAAAAGACAAACTCTAGAAAAATTAAATTCAACACACTTTAACTGAGCCAAGAATGATTTGCAAAAATTGGTGGCCCTTAGAGCCAGAAGACGGTCAAAGAACTCTACTGGGTAATGAGGGCAGGCCGTGTTTAGAGACACAAAACCAAAGTGAATGCATAAACCGCTGTGACGGTCACAGCTCCATGTTTACCTTATTTGGGTGTGGTCTGAGCGGGTGACAGCCTGTGGCCGGCTGAAGCTCTGCTACTGTAATTAGCTGAGACTCAGCTATTTGTCACAAAAGTATACTCCTAAATTAGGCTCTCAGTTTATGTAGTTGTTTATGTAGGGACTCTAATGAAGCAGTCTCAGGCAAATTTGTTTAACGTAATAGTTCTGAATACAGAGATTTGAAAAGATGAGTTACAGGTGTTACAGAAAGACAGAGAATGACTTTGAAGTCATCTGATTTATTCTTTGTAGGACATAAATTGTCTTCCTAGATTCCAAGATAAGTACAAATATAGCCACTTTGGGAATAATCCCAGCACTCCCTGAAAACTCACTATTGCCCAAGCCAACTCACTCCGTTACTGAATCATTGTAATAGCTGTTAGATAGTTCTTCCTGTGTTAAACCGTATCTCTCTATAATTTGTCATTGTTCCTTTTTCTGCCTTCCAATATTTACAGAAGACTCCGAGTGCAGAAAACCCATGAGATCACTCCAGGCTTTGTGGCAAGGACCTGACAACTATGTTTGTAAAAATCATTTTGTATCCACAGGGCCTAGCACAAAGCCTGACAGTAAAGATTTGTTGACAGAGTAATAAAATGGTGAGATTCTCAAAGAGAGATCAAATAGAAGTTAGAACTGCTGCCACTGCATGGATAGCCAGCAGCATAGCTGTGGCCTTCCCCAGTCATGTCCACAGCCAAATGTCAGAGTTGTTTCCATACACACGAAGGATCTTCCACAGAAGCAGCACAACTATCTCTTCTCTGACCCATCACAGATTGCCAGGCCTGTGGGAAGGATCAGCACAGGACTGACAGAACCACGGCAGGGAGAAGGAAGCTCTGCTCAGTCTCTTTTCCTCTGTAACTTGCTCAGTGGCTGAGCTGACTACCAGGCCCCGGCACCACCACACTGGCCTGGAAGAAGCTATTCCCAGAGAGATTCAGGCCTAAGAAATTGAAAGGCTGCAAAGTTAAATATTGATAATTGAGAACAAGAAATAATATCTGCAGGGCTTTTCCCACTACCACACCCTTCCCAGCTTTATCCCCCTGCTTTTGAAGTAAAGAATCACTTGTACATAAACCTACCAGGCCTAACACGCAGCTGGGTGGAGCTGGGGGGTTCAGAGATCTGACTGAGTAGCTGGCTCTAGCTCTACTGTGCCTTCTTCCTCTGTAAGGTTGTTGGGTATTTTATTGTGGTTTTGTTCATTTGTTTTTGTTCTGTTTTGCATACAACCTGACAGTGAAAGTTTCAGGGCCCAGGGGAAGATCCAGTATTTTTATTTTTTTCAGTGTTCTATAGTGTATTGGTAGGATAAATCTATAAAGAAACTCATACAGATCTAAACCCAGAAAACCAACTAGAAAATTAATGGTTTTCTCTACCCAAAACCCAGCTTGGCAGTTCCCAAAGTAACCTCTAGCTTCTAAAGTCTTTAACTTCTTGCATTCGTTCATCCGTTCCATGCAAGTACCTGACAGAACATCCCCACTTTCCTAACCCATATGCCACAGCGCATAGTCTTGCCTGGGCTTTTGTCCTGCTTGTTAGAATTTGCCTCAGGTTCCCCTAACCAGCTGCACTCACAGGACCCATGAAATGTTTTAGGGAAGATTATGCCAAGTCCTTGTCTTCTGGGTTTTCCATTATTATGTCACCAATCCCAGAAATGCCACCTTAAAAGCAAAGCAAAGCAAACTTGGACCATTGAGTCTTCAAGTCTATGGCGCCCTCCAGCAGTGTAGAGTTCAGGGTCATGTGGCTTGGCACAGTCAGCAAGCAGAGGGATCTCATTAACATACAAAGAAGGACTTCCCACTTTTGTGACCTGGATCTCTGGATGCCTTCCTGTTTAGTGCAAATGTCCTGTTTCTGTTCTTGGTTTTGGTTTTGTTAAAGCAAAATGCTTTCTGAATGCAAGCATTGAGTAACGATGCTTCCCCCAGTGGATGCAGCCATTGAAAACAAGAGGTCCCACCTGCATTTCACATCCTCAGCTACTTCTCCAGGATAGGAAGGATTCGGCACTGTGACCCTGAGAAGAGACTTACCCATCTTCACCCGACTCTGCAATTTCCATCTCTTCCACTTACCGCTCTCTGTCTGCATTCCAGGTCCCTGTGCTGCTGGAGTTGTAGGAATCAAGATGCCTCGTTATTGCCTATTTGGAGATACTGTCAACACAGCGTCCAGGATGGAATCCACTGGGCTCCGTAAGAAGGGAGATTGTTCTTAGAGGACAGAGATTCTGTTTTCCAGCAGAGGGCAGCTGCCAGAGAAAATGCACCACAAAGGGGTGGGGAGTGCCAGTGAGAT